ATTGACAAAAACAGATGTTGGGCTAGATTTGGTCCACAGGCTAGAGTTTGCCAACCACTTACATAGATTAAGAATTACAATTCGAGTATCATTGGGCAGGCTTATACTTTCCATTTCCTCATAGGATAGAACTCCCTGGCTCACCTCCCCACCAATTCCCATTGCAGCATTTCCTATCTGGCCCCAATAATGACATTAATAAGAGCAGCAAACATGTATTTAGACTTACTGTGCACCAGCTAAGTAATGTACTCAACCTTAGGCAGCTGGTGGCCCAGTCAGGATTTGAACCCAGTCATCCATCTCCAAGTCTATGATTACACGGCCCAGTGGCACCTGAATGTACAAACCAGGACAGCAGGACACAAGGAAGACAGCGTGCCTCTCACCTCCTCTTACAGTCCACTGCTCACCACAGCTTTACCTGGCTCTTGGGGCTAGGTGGCAGAGATTAGAAGTAGCAAGGTCTACAAATATGAAAGTGAGAATGAGGGTGACTGAACTAGGCACCCACAGTAGCAAAAAGTGACAGGTAGCAGTCTGACAAGAGCAGCAGGAAGACAAAGGTAAGTAGAAAATAGGAGTTATTTATTTGTGAATTGATCAGCTACTTTGTGCCACACACTGTACAAATTCCAACTATCCTAAGACCTTGCTGCTCAAAGCATGCTCTTCTAACAGCCCATCGGTATCACCTGGATGCTTGTAAGAAAGAGTCTTGGTCTCATTCCAGGTATGAACCAGAATCTGCATTTTAACAAGATCCTCAGGTGATATGTGCACTAGTAAGGCCGAGAAGCCAGCAGCTATTACTGTCCCAACTTTACAGGCTAGGAACCTGAGGCTCAGGACAGTCAACCACCTTACAAGTGGTTAAGTTGCGAGTCTGAACCCCAATGTGTGATTCAGAGGCAACTCTTGTTCTCCTGACGTGGTCAAAGAAAGGCCTCCAGGACATTTACCTTAGCAGCGATCATGTATTAACTTGTAATAAGATCATAGTAGGATCATGAAAACATAAGATACTAACCCTGCACCAGCACTTGAAAATTCAGTTATGCTCAGGATACTATTTTTAAAGAAACATAGAAATTAAAGTAATATAGTTAACACTTCAATTCCCATATTTCAAAAATCTCTTTTTACAAAGTTGACCAATTTTCCATTTCTGATGACTTTATTTAAAAGAATGTAGAAGGATTTTGAATTTGACCATACTGGATAGATTGCTGTTCTTCTGGGCACATCTCTAGTGTTAGCAGGAGTGGATCATTAGATGGTCTCAGAGGTAGAGGTCAGGGACCCAGAACTGTAGGTTCCTGAGGTCCTACAAGAAGAGAGACTTGTATTTGGGATCAGGCTGTTAGCAGTCTCATTTGATATGAAGGGGCCTGGGCAGAGGTGGTTCCTAAGTTGATACCCTTGGGATTCTGGAATCTGATGGCAAGATTCCCCTCCCCACCTCAACCTCCCCATCATGGACTGTAACATCAGGACAAGACCACTGAGTACCTTGGTCATGAATCTGGGGACAGGAGATTAAAGGACAAGTTCACTCCTCCTTAGCTTGTATATTTAATAGACTTGTTTTTCTTGATAGGCATTTAGTATCTAGTATTTTAGTAAATATACTGATACGACTATAGGAACAGAGCACTCAGATACTGCAAGACCAGAGTGTGAGAAAGGATACATGATCTGGGACAAGAAAGCTACCAGAAACTCCAGCAGCTACTTTCTCTTTCTCTCCCGGCTGCAGGAGTTGTATCTGTATCTTCCACTCTATCAGGCCCTCCACTGCACCCTAATCAGTCAGGGCGGTGCCTCTCCTTGTGGAGGAATGCATTATCCTCTCAACAGCACCCTCTCCCTGTCAACATGGGTCCTGCTTCATCAAGTGGACTCCTGGAAGGCTTCTGCCTCACCCTCCTGCTATGGACACATTTTTTTGATTTCTGTTAACATGGCTCACTCTCAGTGACTCTGTTTTCTAACACCAACTGAAGAATCTCATTGATGCAGCTCAGCTTTCTGAGCCAGAATTATAGTTCCAGCCACCAAAAAGCTGGACTGCACTGGATCAGAGGACAACTCCAGAATCCAATCAGCCAACACTGGAGGGAGTTACATGTTTGCATTTCCCACTTAAGTGGCAAGATGGGTAGGGAGATTCCCTCAAGAAGGAGGGTGGTGGGAAGAGTGAAGGAGGATTTATGGCACAGCAGGAATCTTCAGAATTTAAAGTCCTAGAATCTGAGGTGAAAGAAGACCTTCCAAAGTCATCTGGTCCAAACTGTGCCCTCCCACATCTCCCAGTTGCAATCCTAAACCCCCCAGGACACAAAGGTGCCAGTTCCCTTCCTGAAGCTCTCTGACGTGAATCAGGATTGGGTAGAGGAGAGGGGAATGGGACACAAGATGGGGAAGATCACTGATAAAACATCCTGCTAGCTAAAGCTTATGTTGAAGGTAACTTTAGAAATGTGGTTGGAATAACATCTCACTTAAAAGGCACATTGGTTTTCTGTGTGCATTCACTAAACACTCTGGGATGCACACGCTTTGGAAAAAGAAACTAAACTCTCACATACTGTGCTGTCTTCTAGAGTTGGAGAAGATGTCCTCAATTCCTGTGAAAACTTTATAGGATTTTTCACCTTCTTGGGCTTTTTCCAGCACAGAATGCCGGATGTAATAAAACTGAAGTAACACCCAGGATTTTTGGGTGTTATTACTCAGGCAAAGATGAATGTGGACACACTGCAACCCAACCTTTTGTAGTCTTTAGGTGACGCATGGCACAGGTAAACAGAAGCTTGGGCACACATGGAGTTTTAACACCTCAAAACATGGACAGATTTCTAAATCTCACTCCAGATCACTTGAGCAACATGGTTAATGCTTTTGGGATTCCTTTTTTTTTTTTTTTTTTGAGACGGAGTTTCGCTCTTGTTGCCCAGGCTGGAGTGCAATGGTGTGATCTCAGCTCACTGCAACATCCACCTCCCAGATACAATGGATTCTCCTGTCTCATCTTCCCAAGTAGCTCGGATTACAGGTGCCCACCACCATGCCTAGTTAATTGTTTTGTATTTAGTAGAGATGAGTTTTCACCATGTTAGGCTGGTCGCAAACTCCTGACCTCAGGTGATCCACCCGCCTCGGCCTCCCAACGTGCTGGGATTACAGGCATGAGCCACCGCGCCTGGCCTTGGTATTCTTACTGGCACAGAAAAGTCACCCTTTTAGTGGCAGTATTAATTTATCCAAAACAGGTGACCAAAATCTTTCAGAAGCAATTTATTGTTTTGTTTTTCCAGGGAAAGGGAAAGTTGCCAAAGGGTGCTAGGAGGTAGTTGCACTTGGCCCCCAAACAAAGTGATATAATTTCTGTATCAAGCCCACACAGACATGCAAGCTATCTTCAAGCAGGTACAGAGGTTTTTCTTTAAAAGCCACAGTCCGCCTAAAACTAACGCCACAAACCATTAATTTCATGAACAAGCTGAGCATGAGAACACCTAAGATGCCTGTTTTAACCCAAGTCTGGCTGAAAGTCAGCTGGAAAATGCACTATCAACACAGGACACATTTTTACACAAGGACAGCAACACAAATTTATGGGACCATCTTCGATAGCCATTTACAATCTAGATTAACTTTCATTTTACTTGAGACAACAAAGTATGGCATAACATACAGAGGAAACATTCTTACCAGCCGGGGGTTTTTCACACTTGGCATTACTGGTATTTTGTGCCAGGGGCCATCCCATTCATTGTAGGACATGTACAGCATCCCTGGCCTCTACCCACTACATGCTTGTAGCACCACTGACCAGACATCACAACCAAAATTGTCTCCAGACACTGTCAAATGTTCCCTGGGCATAGGGGAATCGGTAAATAAAATAGTCTGCAGCTGAGAACTACTGTACTAAACAAAGACAAAGGTTTAGCTGTTTAAGACAGAGTTGTCTGGAATTAAATCTGCCTCCCTGGAGGTGGGCTGATCTCATCATCCCTTTGGTGTAGTTAGCACCTTAGAGCTGGTGGGTAGGGCACTGCTTTTCCTTTTCTGAACACAGGGTCAGAAAAGCAGTACCAAGGAATTCTTTATCCTGTACATCACCTGTACTCCTTCAGTTGTAGGATTCCTAACTTCCTTGGTTAGGAAGTAACATGAGACCACAGTCTGTGATCATTCAAGAAAGCAATTAATTTTTTTATTTAGGAAGAGGCACGTTGTGAGCTCCTGAAGACTTCTATCTTCTAAAAAACATTTCCTCAAAGAAAAATTATGATATTTACCTATTGAGGCAGACTTCCCACATAAAAATATCTGCATTACCTGTCAACAGGTCACATCCAATCTGGTTCCTCTCCTGTTACACTTTCCCCAGATGTACTCTGGAAATCAACTCAGGAGGGCCAAGGGGCCCAAGGCTTTTGGAAAACTTGGTTTGGTCTGTAGCCAAGAGTGCTGTTTCAGCCAAGACCTCCCTGAACAAACTGCCTACAGTCAGCCCCAGCAAGAATTTACTTTCCACATCAGGTGAGTAGTGACTATAGCCAAGAGGATGTGAAGGCCACTGCGTTTCCCAGGAAAGGGAGTTGACTATCTCCACAGACTACCTCCCAGAAGCAGAGGGAGACTCCCCTCGGTCAAGTTTCTCCCTGTGCGGTACCTTGCTCCAGAAAGATATTCAACCCCTGGAGGGCCCTGGCTCTCAGAAGCAAGTACAAGGTGTGAAAGCAGCTAGAATGTGTCCCTTCTGACATGCAGAGTGAAGGGGGCTGTTGTATAGCCACTACCAGAAGAGCAGGTACAGCCTTGGTTAGAAACCCAAATGCTGAGCAACTGAATCCTTGCACATTCTTGTTTATGTCTAAGTAGATCCCATTAAGCCCTGGGCACTTGGCTTGACTACTCCCTGGATCAAAGTTAAATTACCCAACAAGCTTCTTTTCAGAGAGAGACGCACGCACAGACTGACTCACCTTCCAGAAGCTATCCACTTTGCCATACACAAGGGACTGGTTCTGCCTTTTGATTTCATTAATGTGGTGGATGTCACTGGAGTTCAGGTGCTGCTCGACCACAAACCCCAGAAAGCTGTTGTCTGGGGTATGAGCTGGTGTGCAAAGAAATGGAGAGGACAGTTAGTGTCCAATCAGCAAGAAGAAACAACAATCACATATTTAACACAGGCCATCTTACCCGTAACAAAATGTTTTCATCTTACCTTGTTCTTTCTTACACCTGAGGGAGGTGAGGGATTGCTCTCTCCCACACGTTCCCAGTAAAACCGTCATGAGAACACTTCTCTCTAGGATGGATTAACCTGAACCAAAACCTGCTCTTTTTAGGGAAAATACATCTGTCTGAAAATCATTAAGCTGTGTATTCTTTTCCTTGTTGCCTCAGAATAAGGCTACTGTCCGTTTCCCAGCAGAAATGCTCTCACCCAGGTTTCACCACCCACTGGCCAAAAACCTGTAGGGGGCAGGGCTGATCGGGAGTTCTGAATAGGCGCAGAGCCCCCATGTAACTGAATCTGACTCCAGCTGTGTTTTTCACCCAGCTACATAACAAGAGGTTTAGGGATAGAGTGATGAATAATCCCCAGAACCTTTCATCTCCTCTAAGAATTACTCACTCATAAAAGATGTCATTATGGGGTTATATTGAACAGGTGCATGGAATGAAGACAGAATAAAAGGTAAAGCTTGCTGGGGCACAAACCACTCCAAAAAAACACCAACCACTGCAAAGGAATACTGTCTACAGAGTACGCTATTCTGGAAAAGAAAATTTTGGATTTCTCTCTTTTGGGTTCTGTAACTTCTCTAACACTTGACCAAGGGGTACAGCAACCCCACACCCTCTCCAAACATCTGCATCTCGTGCCTGTAATTGTAAAAGGCATTTCACCAGCAAGTGACAGTCAGAAAATAATTCTCTCTGGATTAAACAGAGACCCTCTTCTCCTTTACCTTCATTCCGTCAAGAGAAATCTCAGTTTTTCAGATGAGCCTGCTGAGACCATGTGTGGCTGATATTAAATGAAGCAACTGCTCTGCTTGGCTCTGACCTGAATAGAACAGCTATAAATAACATGAAACCAAATTCCTCCTGGTAAATTGAGATATACACAAGATTCTGAAAAGTCCACACACTGCAACCTTAACCACATCCATTCACAGGTAGGTGGTCAGCAAATAGAGAAAGCTGGTCCCTTCATCTCATTCTGGTTGTCCTAGGACTGAGGAGTGGTTTCCCAGGCTTGTACTAGCACAGAAATCCTTTCAGACAGACAGATGGGCAAAGGCGAGCCTGCAGCACAGGCCTAGGATGCCCAGACTCCAATGTCACCCACCATGCATGCAGGGGAACACGATGAAGAAGGGACACTGGCAGGAAGCCCTGAGCTGTGGAAATGCAAGAGCCATGTAAATACTGTGCTGTCAGCCTCCGTTTCCCAGGCTTTTGCCTAATGGGGGTGACAGAATGAGGAGATAATAGGGTTGTGACTGGGGAGTTGTGTTCAGTCTGGCCAATCTGTTATTTCATTTCTGCGTTTTTGAACAAGTGCCCAGAGGCAATGGCAATGGCTGCAGTTGGCTGGAAAGTAAATTACTGAATAAATTCTACTGCCAACAAGAGGCAATGGTTGTTTTTCCTCCCCCTTTTGAGGAGCTGAGGGCACAGGGAATTTTGAAGGATTAGCAGGGACAGGAACACAGCCTGTGTGCATTCTCAGTGTTATGGTGCAGCTTAAAATATTTCTTTGTAAAATTTTTTGTTAATTCTAAAAGTTTTGAACTCAAACCTGGCACTCTACTTCAGGATCAGGTGTTTTTAATTTTTTTTTATTTTCAGAAAATTTACATGGTGATTAAAGCATGATGCTTGAAATATTTGTTTCTGAAATGTAGTCATTTAGTCCCTAGGTAGGCACTTAAATAATCCAGCAAGTAAAACAATGGGTTTTATTTCATATTATAATATACTAATGCATAGTAAAAAATAAAATGCTTTAGCCACCCAAATGAAAAAATACATTTATGTAACATTTTTGTGTGAAAGATTCTCCTAGCTTCTAGCTTGACTGGTGGGAGGGAGAAGTAAATATCAGAAAAACTTGTGAGGAATGGTGGGCTTTTGCTGCTATGACTATAATTTGGTATTCAATCAACTCTGACACTATGAATTTCACATCTAAACTCTCCTCTATGTTTTCATCCAAACACTTTAACTCCTGTCTCACCTTGTGAAATGTTAACTTAGGGATCAACAACCTGCAAGTGTGGTTTAAAGGACCTCAGGTGAGACTTGAGATTTACAAACAGTATCACCACATTTAATGAGCCAAGGCCTGAGTACTGGTCTGACCTCTACATGCCTTCTCCTCCCAGGTGACTCTAAACTTGCCACAGGACACGAAACCTTGACCACATAAGGGTCTGCTCAGCTGTGACTCGCCCCAGCAGGTGATTCTGAAGTAACTACGGGTCCAGTGTGGCTTGCTTCCAAGGATCTGAACACCAGCTGGAGCCTGCCTGGTAACATCTGCCGAGAGCGCCCTGGTCTTATCACAAGTGTTCTTAATGGTGCTTATAATAAATCAAAAGCCACAAGTCCAGGAGGATGTTATCTGAAATGTCCATTTCATTGAGTTCAAATTTCAGGCCAACCTTTCTTTTTTGTTCTGCCTTAGGAAGGGAACAGAGACTTTTATTGTGTTGGGAGGATTTCAAAGAGAAGGTATTTACATTTTAAGGTAAATCAAACAAATCTCAAACGGGATGCAGGAAATCCTGTACTTTCAGTAATACCTTCATCCCAGAGGATAAACAAATGTGATTTTTAAAAAAGATGACTGATATTTTGAGTTCTGACTACATGCCAAATTCTGTGCTAAGTGCATTATAGTTACTCTTCCATTTTAACCTCATAACCGTGTAACATGTTTGTACAGATAAGAAAACAGAGAGAGATTTGGTTTAACTACCCAAGTCTACATGCTAGGAAATGGCAACACTAGGATTCAGAGTCAGACTGGCTGCTTTCAGGGCATCAACTCCTTAAGTCACTCTAACATACAGCCTCATAGTCCAAATAATTTTCTGCATCCTGTGAACAGCAGTGGTAAACCATGCTTCAGAGGAAAATAATGTTCTAAGGTACAGCAAAATACACAAGAGGGATCCAGAATACATATGCAGTATCACCTCAGTTTCTTGAGTATCTTGTGCCATATATGTATATGGGACCACACAGATTTTTTTTTTTTACATGCTACAAAACTACAGGAGATTTGCCAGACATTAGCAATGATTTTAAGATAATTTAGAACAAAACATCTCTTATTAAGAGAAACACTATTTTAAGCACTTTGGAAGCACCTATTTACAAATGATTACAAATCAGCTTGATGTGTTCCCTGAGCAGAGTATGATGATAACTACTTCTAAGAAATACTATTAGCTTAGCTTGAATAATTCATTCAATGACAAACGTTTTGAAGCATTTCTACAAACCAGGTTATATGATAAGTATTGACAAATTACAATATAAAGATGAGTTTCTGCCCTCAAGGAGCTTACCAACTACTTCAAGAGCTTTCTTTCAATTGCATAAATTTCTGAGGTCTGCTTTTGCTATCAGTTAGTCCCAAACATCTCTAAGAATGTTATGTATCTTCACGTCCCTGGTCACCAAGAGAAGAAACCCCAGTGCCAGCCTGGACCCATTCTTTAGCCCTCACAGTCAGCAGTCCCAGGGATATTAGTTTCTCAAAAATCCATCAACTCAGCCTTTCCTTTTCATATTTGTTAGTCCAGACCTTCTCACTTTTTGCTCAGACTTCTGCAATAAACAACCTTTTCTTTTTCCTAAATACAAATGGATTTATTGGTTTTCCTGATTATAACAGAAATATATCCTCAGATTAAAACTTTTTTCAGATAATAAAGATATGAGAAAAAAATAAGTTACATATCTTTCATCACCTAGAAATAACCACTATTACTGGTCTTTTTTTCTAAGTTTGTGGATCATTTTTCCCCTCAAAATATTGAATTCCAGTTAATGATGTCAAGCTGAGGCATCAGAGGGTTCTTTTATGTATCCCCCCCCCCAAAAAAAAAACAGCAAAAAAGGTGAATTGATGGATAGAGAGAAGATTGGCATATGGATCGATACAGTAAATGGTTAATTGTAAAATCTAGATTTGTGGGTTTCTAGTAACATTTCTTCTGTTTTTTTTGTATGGCTGAAAATGAATAATGCTTGTCATCATATTCATGGCATTTTTGCTGATTCTGATAAAACTGACGATAGAAACAAATGCATTGAAAAATAGTTATGTCACACAAGAATTCTGGATTAAAAAACTATACATTACTACGTTATGTGAAAAATTTTACAAAAACTGATTTTTTTTCCCCTAAATGTTGGTGACACTAGTTTCTTCAAGAGAGAAGGCTGGGATGCAGGCTAGGGAAACTAATATACAGTTGAGCTGAGAAGATGAGTGCCTAAACTGTTGACAAAAGGCACTTCAGGGTAAAATTTTCAAGTGTCAAAAAGCAATTTAGGAGGGAATGGACTCCTTAGAAGAATAACACTGCTGAAAGCTAAGACTCAGACTGAAGGAACCACAAGGCTGATCCTACTCCTCACTGGTCTGCACAGAGCTTAAAGGCAAGAGCCCTTCTGATTCAAGTTAAAGGCCAAAATGGCAGTTTCAATCACAAATAGCTCCTTTGGTTGTCATGCCCTAAAAATAAAATTGTACATGGAAGTTAACTGATCCTTAGCTACAGCCAACAGGCTTATTATTTGCATGAATGGGAACTGACTTGGTTCTAAAATTCCTGTTTTGCCAGGCAAAATTTTTTATCCACAAGCCATCATTCAATTTGATCATGCAAATAAAAATGGCTGTGAGCTCCAAATCCTGGGAGAAATTCAGGGTTGGAATGTCAATGAAAATGACAATCATTATGGTCCGAAAGCCCAACAATGTAAGTAAGTTCCCTGGGAAGACACAAGAAAGTAAGATGAGGCCACTGGCATAAAGAAGTTTCTGCAATCTTAAATTTGTACAACTGTCTCCTTCCCTACATT